AGAGCTGACAAAATTCAAGAGAGAGTGCAGGAGGGCAGAACGGAGATGGAGAAAAAACAAAACTACAATAAACTACCAATTATTCAGTGATCAACAACGTACATACAACAACGCAATAAGAAACGCAAGAAACCATTACTTTTCCACAATAATCACCAATCACAAGAATAATCCTAAGGTCCTCTTCTCAACCATTAACAACATTTTAAACCCTGATTTTAGCACATTTTACTTAACACCCACTGACTCTCTCTGTGAGCAGTTTGCAGACCACTTCACGGGTAAGATAAACACTATCAGATGTGATATTTTATCTTGTCAAAACTCTGTTTTTAGTACATCTGAGTGTTTGTCTAGACCAGAGGAAACACTGGACAGTTTTGTCCTGGTTAATGCTGAGATGCTTGACAAAGTTTTCTCCTCAGTGAGGCCCACCACATGTCTTTTAGATCCAATTCCCACTCCATTTTTTAAGTCATTTTATGGATCTTTTAGGGATGAGCTTTTAACCATGATGAATTGCTCTCTTCAGACGGGGGTCTTTCCCTCTGCCTTCAAAGCAGCGGTGGTGAGGCCCCTGCTGAAGAAGAGCAATTTAGATTTTAATGATTTTTAACAACTACCGACCAGTGTCTAACCTACCATTTTTAAGCAAAATTTTAGAAAAAACTCGTTTTTATCCAACTAAATAATTTCTTAGACGATCACAACATCTTGGAAAAATTTCAGTCTGGTTTTAGGGTGAACCACAGCACCGAGACCGCCCTGGCAAAGATTTTAAATGATTTTAGATTAAATTATGATTCACAAAAGGTAACCGTATTGGTTCTACTGGATCTGAGCGCTGCCTTTGACACAGTAGACCACACTATTCTTTTAACTCGCCTAAAAGACCTTGGCCTCTCAGGTGCTGTTCACAGATGGTTCACATCCTACCTCACAGACAGAACATTTATGGTGAGTGTAGACACATGCTCCTCCAGGGTCCATAAAATCACATGTGGTGTGCCCCAGGGCTCCATTTTAGGCCCTGTGCTTTTTAACTTGTACATGCTCCCGCTTGGTGGTGTCATCAGGAGACATGGAATCAACTTCCACAGCTACGCAGATGATACGCAGCTTTACATCTCCATGTCTCCTGATGACACCAGACCAATGGATGCCCTTTTTAACTGCATTCTAGAAATTAAGTCCTGGATGGCAGAAAAACTTCCTCCAGCTTAACCAGGACAAAAACTGAGGTTTTAGTCATTGGTCCTGAGGCCCAGAGAGAGAAACTTTTACCCAAATTCCAAACACAGTCCTTTAACCCATCTCCTCTAGTGAAAAACCTGGGCGTCATTCTTGACTCTGAGCTAACTTTTATCCCACACATTAAGAACATCACAAAAAAAATTTTTATCACCTAAAAAACATAGCCAGAGTCCGCCCCATTCTCTCTCTGGCCAACACCGAGACGCTGATGCATGCTTTTATCACCAGTCGAATAGACTACTGTAATGCCCTGCTCTCTGGTCTTCCCAAAAAGAGTATTTCAGGTTTGCAATTATTACAAAATTCAGCAGCACGTGTCCTGACGAGGACCAGAGGCGGGACCACATTACACCGGTTTTTTAAAATCACTGCATTGGCTCCCTGTGTGTTTCAGGATCGATTTTAAAGTTCTTTTACTGGTTTTTAAATGTCTTAATGGTCTTGGGCCCTCTTATCTTTCAGAACTGCTTTTACCTTACGAACCCTCGCGGACCCTGCGCTCCTCCGGCAGCAGGCTCCTGGTCATTCCCAAAGTCAGGACACACACTCACGGAGAGGCGTCTTTTCAGCACTATGGCCCTCGTCTATGGAACTGCAGCCGGAGGAGCTCAGGGCTGCAGAGAACGTTCATGTTTTTAAGAGTAGGCTCAAGACCCACCTTTTTAGCTTAGCTTTTGATTGAAATCTTATACTTTTACTTGTTTTTATTGTACACATTTTACTATATTTATTTATCTTAGGCATATTTTTTAGGATTTCCAGTGTTTCCTTTGTAGGAGCCCTCTGCATCGGGAGTGGAGGTCAGCTGTGGCTGCTGGGTCTGTCATGTGGGCTCCTGGTGGAGGGATGGTGCTTGGGCCTCAGGTGCCTGGGCTTCATCTCTCCCCTGGACCCTGTGGTGGTTCCTGGTGGTGGTGGACGTCTCTCTGCTCCCGGTGCAGACGGCTCCTCTGATGGTGCTTTCTCAACTGGTTCGCCTGTATTCAGCCTCACATTTTATTGTGTCCGGTTATGTATTTTAGCGTGTGAGTGTGTGTGTGTGTGTGTGTGTGTTGTGTGTGTGCATGATTGTGTGTATGTGAGTGTGTGTTTGGGTTGTTTGACTATGTGGGGTTGGGGGTGCGGGGGTTGGGTTGGTGGGTGGGTGGTTGGGTGGTTGGAAATGCGGGACTGTTTTTAATCACTGTAAAGCACTTTGTGTTGCATTTTGTATGAAAAGTGCTTTATAAATAAAGTTTGATTTGATGATTTGATTTGATAAACCAGGACTAAACCAGGACTAAACCAGGGCTACACCAGGATTAAAACAGGATTAAACCAGGACTAAACCTGGACTTAACCAGGACTAAACCAGGACTAAACAATGATTAAACCAGGACTAAACCAGGACTACACAGAACTAAACCAGGACTAAACCAGGACTAAACTAGGACTAAACCAAGAGTAAACCAGGACTACACCAGGACTACTGCTGGGATGTGACAGTCATCTCATATCATAACATTTACATGTCATATCTTCCCATCTACAGTAAAGTACAAACTAACTGTAATTTACAGCAGAATGTTGTAAAAAAAAAAAAAAAAAAAAAAAAAAAAAAACTCTTACTGACTGTAATGACTTCCTGTCCCACAATGCATTGCAATCTACAGTTATGACATGTCATATGTGAAAAAAAGAAGCTGTTGTAAAAATGACTGTAGAAAGTACAGCAAGTTTACACGTCTGTATATCCTTTTTTTTTTTTTTTTTTTTTTTTTTTTGTAGTTGCAGTTGTATTTCTTTTAAAGGGACAATGCATATTCATGAACATATACTTGTAAATACGCCAGAATCAGCCCGAAGGTACTTGCCATCTGTAGTCCTTGGCAGGTCAGAGACACAGAGACATAAGACACATCACACAATAGATAAACATGGTAGAAACAGCACAATAAGACACAATCATGACACACAACACTGACATTTACACAGGAGCAGAACATTGGTCATCACAGATCTGGTTTCTCTTAAGCCGTCATTTCAGATTAGTTTTAAATATTCTGAATGTGGTGGAGTCTTTTATTGCAGCTGGGATGTTGTTCCAGATTTCTGTGCCTTTGACTGATCACACCTGCTGACTGAAAGTTGTGCGTCTATAAGGTTTTGCACAGTCGTCTCTGGTAGAGGCTCTTGTTCCCCGACCACTAGAGCTGGACTTGGGTTTAATGAACTCACCCAGAGGTGTTGGAGCGAGGTCATTTAAGACCTTATAGACTGAGCAGGCGAGTTTACATTTTTGAAAATTTCCAAAACTTAAGATATTATATTTCTGAAGTATGAGACAGTGATGAAAAGATAAAGATTTCCTGTCAAATACCTTTAAAGTGATTCTATTATTTTTTAAGGTTGTCATGCTTGTCAGTGACCAGTTAGTAACGCAGTATTCAGTGCAGTATTCAATTCAGTCCATCTATAGAGACATTATTTATTCAATTTTTTTATTATTATTTTATATTTTGCTTGTTCTGGATTCAATGTATAAGTAAAACTATTATTAAACATGTATCTTATTTTAAAAATAAATAAAAAAAAAAAAGTTTAACATTACTGTACACATCTCAAAAGAAGAGAAAACATGCAGATGTTGTTGAAATTTTTAAATAAATATTTATTTTGACCCACGACTTAGTCCCAGTTTTTAATTTTGGTCCTCTGTGAATTTGAGTTTGACACTCCTGATCTGAGTGGAGCCTGAGCCCTGCTCTCCGGCGCCCTCTGCCGGTGGGCTGCAGCTCTACACTGGGCAGTGGCGCACAGACATGTTTTATGCATCTTTTATGTTGTCTCTTGCTACAGAAATCAACACAGACTGGGAGGGCAAAGCGTTCACCACAAATTCAGAGATTCAACACAGAAGACCAGGCTCCAAGCTGTTCTGGTACATACGGTATCTTTATTAACTTTAATAATAACTTTAATACATTAATTTTTCCCCCAATATCGTTCTTCTCTATATTTTTTGTTCTGGAACATGATATAGGCCTATTGCAGATAATCCAATCCAGAGTGAAAGTGCAGCACAGAGGGAGCCCTGGACCGTCCTCTGCTTCTGTCAGTCTGGGATCTAACAGGCCATTGTTTTCTTTGGACCAAGGATGCAAGTGCGGTCATGGCACAGCGCTTTTATTTTGAAAGGGCAGCGGTCCTGACTGTCTGTGTTTGGACGTGAGTGACATTGAGCGAGTTACTAGTATTTACATGGTTTTTCCTTCTACTTTATAGGCTCGAACAGAAGTGTATTTCTCTTTTGACAACATACAGACAGCAGTGGGCGGCAGGTTCATACATCTGTGCGCGGAACGACCGTCCGCGTAAAGTTAAAGACACAAAGAGCCGTGTGCGTGTTTGGAGAGGACGGGTGGCTCCAGTAATTCCCATGTGATGGTCTAAAATCTTCTGGTTCTTTATGCTTTTCCATTTTAAAGTCTAAAGTCACTATTTTAATCTGAAATGCCGGCTCGCGCTTCCCGTGTTTGGTGCAACTTGACGTGTTGTTGTTAAAGAGCGGCAGAGCGTCGAAGCACTGCGGCAGCCGTCCCCGCGCTCTCCCCCCCGGCCCCCAGGCGGCTCTCCCTGGCTCCCCCCCCCGGCTCTTCTCCGGCACCCGCGGCTCTCTCCTCCATCACCTGCTCTGTGACTCCCATGGTCGGACGCGCGGCGGAGGCGGTGCGCGTCCGTGCTGGAGGTCGGTGGCTGCGGCGGGAGGAGGGCATGTCCTTGGCGCGGAGGTGGAGCTGTGGACGGTGGACGGTGTAGCGCGGCGGTAGGCAGTGACATTGGGCGCCTGGGATGTGTTTGGCGAGCAGCGGTGGGGAGTCAGCAGCGAGCCCCGTTCACTCCGCCGAAGCTCCCCGCGCAGAGTGATGTGCTGCGGCAGACAGGCCTCCACATCCGGACCGCACCGGACCACAGCGAGGAGCGTGCGCCGCAGATAAACAAACCCCCGGGCTGATCGTGGACCAGCGGTGAGTATTATCTGTGATGGCTTTTGTTTGTCCTCAGAGCTCCTCACCGTGCCCTTCATCCGTTTCGTGGTCACCTTTGTGTCCTGATGGCTCCGGGATTACTCCTTACTGGCATTTGGACCTGGTTCAGTCACAGTTATGGGCCATTATTCCAGCGGAGTGTAATCCTGGTTCAGTCCTGGTTGAGTACTTCTAGGTTTTCTGGTTATTATTCCTGCCCTTCCTGGGTCAAATGACTCAATTTCGTGATTCCGTTTGTTTCTTAATCTGGTTTAGATGGTCACAATCAAGTTCTTACCTCGACATTGTCAAAGTGATGCAAAAGGTGGTCCTATTATCTATATCTATATCTATATCTATATCTATATCTATTAGGGGTGTAACGATATCCAAGTCTCACGATACGATATCATCACGGTATGAACCTCACGGTACGATATTTATTGCGATATTGTGGGAAAGCTCACGATTAGAGATGTAACAATATCCAAATGTCTCTGTACGATATTTTCACGATATACATCTCACCGTACGATATTTATTGTGATATTTTGTGGAGGTTAAACAAAACTGTTAATATGCGTCTTTTTCCTCTTTAAATGCCTTGACAAGACTTAATCCAAGTGTTAGAACTGTTATTTCTTCTTGTAGTCTGCACTGAAATGGAGCAAAGGATCATGGCCTGTGTAGTTCACTCTGGTTTTTTTTTAGTTATTACTGCACCATAACTCTTCATTTAAGCAAAGAGACTTGTAATTTGATATATTGTGACGGTCCACGATATTATTGTGAGAACTTTGACGATACGATATCACGATATTTCCGTTATTGTTACATCCATTATATTTATATCTATCACCAGTGTTTGGGAGTAACGTGTTACAAAAGGAACGAATTACTGTAATGCGTTGCTTTCTGCTGTAACACAGTAATGTAAGGGATGACAGAAAGAAAAGGTCATATTTTACTCAATACAAATGTCAGTCACATGTGTTATAATGCATTTTTAACCTAGAATGAAGTGGTGTTTTTTTTTGCTTTTCCTCACACAAATTTACTGAAATCATCACATCATCTTCCACTCAGGGTTCCCACGGTCAAGGAAGTCCTGGAAAAGTCATGGAAATTGAAAATGTCATTTTACAGGCCAGGAAAAGTCATGGGATTTTAGTATCTCTTTCACACAACTACAGCGTTCTGTTAAGTTCTATTATGATTATGTCCGAACATCTGCGACTTTTGTTGAAAAGAGACGACAATAAATGCACTGACAGGATTTTTAATGTTAAAAAACTATAATCCCAAACCATAAGGTGAGTGGAAAGAGTTAACATTTCATATTTAGCCCTAAAAGTCTGATCAATTCTACACATGTAGGTGCCTTTAAAGTCATGGTCACCTTAGGTCAAGAAAAAGTCATGGAAAGTTTTGAAATTTTGTCAGTGAAAAGAGTGGGAACCCTGTCCACTGGATGTGTGATGAACTAATCGAGTGTCATGAGCAACATTTAGATCACCTAATCCACATTTCCAGTTATTTTGGTGAGAGTCACTTTAAAGTGCTGCAGTAGTTGAGTAATGTTTTACATTTTAAATACAGTAATATTGTAATGTAATGAATCACTTTGAAATGACAGTAACAAGTCATAAATAACACATTACAGTTTTGAAATAACTTGCCCAACACTGTCTATCTATCCATCATCCATATGATTTTGGTTTTGAAAACGGCTGCTATACAAAGTGCAAGCCTCTGACTTTTAACCATTTTTTAAAAATGCAAATTACTTCTAGGCACCAGTGTGGAGGAGAACCTTAATCTTAAGAATTCATTTACATGATGTAAATTATCAGCTTTATGGGGGAACCAAACCCTCATGAACCATTCAATGAAACTTCCTGTGCGTGCTAACTTTATCCAGCCATGTTTGAGTCTGTGTTTTGTCCCTTTTAATTCTAATTAAAACTTGATATTACAGTCAAGTGTCTAAAGTGTCGTTTTACTTTTTCATCACAGAAATCAAAAAACAATGGCCAGTACCAAGGACGCCGAGCTGTCAGAGTCCCTCAACACTGACGTCTCCAGCGAGCCAGAGGAGCCCAGCTTTAAATCCAAGAGTTTGCCCATCCTCACCGAGAGAGTACCCCACAAGGAGAGACCGCTGACCAAAAGAGAGCAATGTAAGGAGAGCCTGCTGACCAAGAAGGCGCCACGGGAGGAGAGCCCACGGTCTGAGCGAGAACTCCACAAGAAGAACTCGCTGAACGAGAGGGTACCCCACAAGAAGAACCTGCTGAATGATGAGAGAGAGCAATGTAAGGAGAGCCTGCTGACCCAGAGAGCGCCCCACGAGGAGAGGCTGCTGCCCGAGAGAGTGCCCAATGAGGAGAGCATGCTGACTCAGAGCCTACTGACCGAGAGAGTACCTCAAAAAAAGAACCTACTTAACGAGAGAGTGCCCCTTAAGGAAAGCCTGCTGACTGAGAGAGTACCCCTCAGGGAGAACCTACTAAATGAGCGCGAACAATGTAAGGAGAGCCTGCTGACGGAGAGACCGGCGAGTGAGGACGGCCTGCTGACAGAGAGAGCCCCCCACGAGGAGAGCCTGCTGACGGGATCGGCTTTGCTGCAGACGGAAGAGTGCGCCAAGTTCCTCCAAATCGCCCCGAAAACCGCAGACTCGCGCTACGCCCCCCAACCAGGGAAGTCCGCCTTGAACCGCTCCAGCTCGTACATGGAAAACTCGCAGATGCACACGGGGGGGAGGAGAGCGGCGGCGGGTTCTCTGCGCTCCAAGTTCTCCTGGATCAAACTCCCCAGCAGGAAGCTCTTGTGGGCGATCCTGCAGGACTCGCGCTGCTTCCTCTTCTGCATGTGCTACCTGACCTTCATCCAGTCCCTGATGGTGTCGGGCTACCTCAGCTCCGTCATCACCACCATCGAGAAGCGCTACAGCCTCCGCAGCTCCGAGTCCGGACTGCTGGTCAGCTGCTTCGACATCGGCAGCCTCCTGGTGGTGGTCTTCATCAGCTACTTCGGCGGGCGGGGGCAGCGTCCTCGATGGCTGGCCGTGGGCGGGGTTTTCATCGCGGTCGGCGCCGCTCTCTTTTCGTTACCTCACTTTATTTCGCCGCCCTACCAGATACAAGAAGTGAACTCGTCGCTGGCCAACGAGGGGCTGTGTTTGAACAGCAACAGCAGCGGGCGGGACCACGTGGACATTACGTCCTGTCCGCGGGAGCAGGAGGGGAACGAGCATAACCTGTACGTGGGGCTGTTTATCGTGGCGCAGATCCTGGTGGGCATGGGCTCCACCCCCATCTACACGCTGGGACCCACCTACCTGGACGACAACGTCAAGAAGGAGAACGCGTCGCTTTACCTGGGTAATGACGCACTTTCACACCTCACACTTATGCCAAACACACACACAGAAGTATTATTTAGAAAAATTACGTGGAATTATTACCGTATGTTTTAGACTATACATCGCACCAGCCAAAAAATTGGTAATGAAGAAGAAAATATATACTGTATTTTCCAGGCTATTAGACGCACTCATTAGTCTCTAACCCCATCAAAAAACGACCTACACACGAAACCGCTCGGGTGTCCCAACACGACTTCAGTAAAATACAAAGCCGCACCACCCGCAGTGCACGCAAACACACACGGAGCAGACAGCGACCGCACAGCGAAAAACACCCACAGACACACTCATCACTCCACGCCGACGAGGAACGGAACGGAGGAACGAACCGAAAAAGTGAGCGCAATGTGCCACTTCTAGACACAACTGAACAACTGAGTCACCGCGAACACGCCGACAATCCGTTGGTCCCAGACAGCACCCTCCCTACACGCCACAACTGAACAAAGCCCAGAGTCACCGTGAACGCACCAAACAAACAAAACCACTCACCCATCACACTGTTGTGTTTCCTTTAAAGTCCGGTGCGGTTTATTTGTGAAAAAAGTTTGAAAGTAGACCATTTAATGACAGTGTAGCTTATAATCCAGAGCGACTAATAGCCCGGAAAATACAGTATATGTTGCACTTTTTGGAGGAAATTTATTTTATAAAATCAGAGACCAGGAACCGGCATTTTATCTTGAAAGTCAAGTTCTAGTAATAATAATAGAAGAGAGAACAACAGACTGTTAACGTTACATATGAACAGTTCTTCAGATAAACTATAACATAAACAACAGAACAGAACAAGTTTAACAAACTCTCCATCTCACTCCAAATCACTAAATCCATTCAATTCTTCATCCTCGGTGTCACTTCTGAACAACTCGGCCTCGACCTCCGGAGGTAAACAGAGCGCGCTGCTTCCTCTTCTGTGTCGCTGTCGTCAGACTCAGCGTCAGTTCCAGTTAGAATTATTCGGGTCTTTCTGAATCCCGACAGGATGGTTTCGGTGTCACTGAAGTCCAGACTTTGTCCATCCATCCAGTGACTTCAGGAAAGTTTCATGGTGCATCCTCCCAGTGTCACAAGCTTCTCTTTCACTCTAAACTTTCTTTCGGCTGCTCGATTACCATTTTCAGCTGAATATTTCACTACACGCAGCAGGACAGAGGCCCTTTTTGCACAGTAGAGTGAAGTGACAGTGGTACAGGAGGAACAGGAGCAGCAGATACTGACACACAAGACTAGAGCCTCTCGACGCTTCAGTGAGAAAATTTTAATATATAAGTCACAGGAAACACCCAAACCATGAAAAAAAGTGCAATTTATAATCCGAAAAATACGGTATTAAATAGGGGTTATAATGCAAAACGGTTTCTACCATGTTATAACACTGTTCCCTCATCAAAAACATGTCTGAAGAGTTTTTAGAGTCATCCATGCATGTTTGAATATTTTAGCGTTCTCTCCTGGGCCCTATTCAAACTCTCCTCACGGTTCGCAGTAAGAATCTGTGCAATACCCACGAGTGCAGTAGTTTCATTAGCAGCATGCATGCCAGGGTTCCCACGGTCATGGAAATCCTGGAAAAGTCATGGAATTTTAGCATCTCTTTCACGCAACTCCAGCGTTCTGTTAAGTTCTCATGAGGCTGTTATGATTATTTCCGAACGTCTGCGCCTTTTTGTTGAAAAGAGACGACAGTAAATGCAGTGACGGGATTTTGAATGTTAAAAAAAAAACTATAATCCCAGAATTAACATTTCATATTTAGCCCTAAAAGTCTGATCAGTTCAACACATGTAGAAAAAAAACCCAGACACCCAGGACAGGTTAGAACTGGTAACAGGTAAAAAAAACTGACATGTCCGGGGAAAAACGGACATTTGGTCACCCTAACTATAATTATATCAGCCTCTCTAAAATATCGCAATAAATATCGTACCGTGAGATGCATATCGTGATAATATCGTACCGAGAGATTTGGATATCGTTACATCCCTAGTTCTAACACAGGATAAGTTTATTTACATCGGTACGGGCGCAGAAACATGACTCCTGAACACACTGTGATAACGTTGTCTAGTCCTGTCCTGTCCCGTCTGGCTCTGCTTTTGTTGTAGGGAGCATTATACCTCAGATGACAAAGCCCGAGCTGGCGGTGTGCCCTCAGTACGTCACAGAATCTCAGCTCCTCATTTTCATGCTAAGTAGTCTGTGTATTTATAGATCACAAACTCCAAAAAGTTGATACACGAGAGCCCGGATCATTTAGTTCTGTTAAAAATACCAAATTGCTTTAATGAGATTTCAACCATGTTACACCGTTGTTCTTGCCTTACACACTCAGGGCTTTGTTCGTACAGTCGCATAAAGCTGTTATTGGCTGAGATGTCTCCTTCAGAATAGGAAACACTTAGACTCTAAGTGCTCTTACATCTGTCTTGAAGTCTTTATTTCATTTCTGTGCATCGTGTTTTGAGAGTACTTCTTCTCTGCTAACTACAGAGAGTTTTAGGGGTATAGAATAGAACAGAAATAGAATAGAAAGTCTTTATTGACATTATACACAATATAATGAGATGCAGAGCTGCTCCTTCAAAGCGCACACACACAAATTAACAGTTCTCAGTGCAAACTTGAGTTTAGTACGGTGACAGCTTTAGGAAAGAAACACTCCCTAATTCGATTTGTTTGGTATTGGTATCCCTAAATCTGTTGGATTTGGCTGGTATGGACCTGAAGCGCCTCCAGTCACAATCACAACAAATATTTGGGGAAGACAAAATATTCCCTATCAGTATTTGCCATTTTATTTTAATTAAACAAAAATATTAATTTATTCCAATATTTTTCAGCCCAGGGTTTTTTTTTCGCTGTAGTACCAGTCAGTGACCACAACTGGATGTAGTGGCCCAGTTATTTTAATAGATCCGTGTGTTAGCAGCCGGACTCTACTGACAATTTTCCATGGAAAAATGTTTGGACATGACTTTACAAATATCTCATTGCCAACAAGCAAAGGGAAATCTGCTACAAACTTCTACATCGCCGTTATCTGCTGAATAATACATTTTGCGAACTGAAAAATGAAACCACCTCTCACTTATTCAATCCCCAAGATCCCAGTAACGCAGCAGTTGTATTATTTATTTTGAGAGCAAGAATTTTATGGGCTAATGTTTTTTTTTTTTGTTATCTGGAATGTTTTTCCGTTGCACAAGAGCCCAAAATGTTCTTAAAATTTGAAAAAAGGAAAAAGTAAAGTGTCGAAGGGAGGGTTTAGCTGATAATGTCCACACCAAAGCTGAGACCAAACCTACGCCCTTGGTTATTTCCCTCCAAATAAAACATTTTGGCAGCCCTGGTTTTGGTGCATGTTTCCAAGAGCCAAGAATTGCTTTTTTAGTAAATCTCCCATAATCTGAATGGAAAGCAGACAGTGATTTATTAATAATTGAATGTACCAGTGAGTGGCTGGTGCTTCTGGGCTGGAGGTGCTTCTCTCTCTGTGGCCTACATGAGCTCAGCCAAACCAACCCTGTGGCCTCCTCGCCCCACTGGCCTGCAATAGTTTCAAGATCCTAATCCAACAAAGGAGCGGGTTATGAAACTGCCACGGCGGAGAGGCTTAGGCATTCCTCCTGCCACGGAACGCTCAGGGAATACGGTTTATGTGGACCGCGTGAACCAGTGACACTGCAACTCCCGGAGCAGGCTCTAGTCACGCTTACGTCACAAACCGGGAAGACGTTTGGAAACATGCGATTACAACTTCCAGCGGGCTCTGTTCGCGCTGACAAAATGTAGGAAAAATGAGAAAATGACCCAGTTTTCTTCATCTACATTGTAGTCATTGTAGTGTTCCGTTATGTTCGGCTCATCAACAGTTCCAAATGTACCTCAGTTTTTATAATTTCCACACTGACGCACAAACTCTGAGCGAACTGGGTACATGGGATTAGAAGAGATGAGGCGCCAAATTCAAGATGTTCAGGAAATTAATTTTACCGCTGATCACGTTTACTTCTGTGGGTTTGATCACAGTCGGTCGGCGAGCCCAGTGTCGCGAACTACACCGGAAGTTGTCATCACATCTTTCTTCCTGGTTGATGTGTTACTGTTTTTTGTAGGCCCCGTTTACGCGTACATGGATATTTTTAAAAACTGAGACATTTCCCTTCGTTTGTACCTTTCCTTTACACGCAAACAGCTAATTTGCCTCTGAAAATGAATCTTTCAAAAAACTCCGGCTAGAGTGAAGATTCTGGAAAACTATGATTTGGCGTTTGTGTGTAAAGCGAGATAAAGGGAGTTTTAGGAACCGACGAACCAAAAGTGTGACCAGTGTTTTCCTTTTTTTCTGATGATAATGATGGAAACATTCAGAGCAGCAGTCGCATTTCTTCTGAAACACTTTTCATGTGTTTACATTTGCACAGACAGCTCATGTTTCATATCAACGACCAGAGACCAATGAGGCTCAGTGATTTTACCATTTCTTTAACAGATCTGTGGAGAGGCGAGCCCGCTCAGTAATGCACGTCTTTCACGGTGTTTTTGAGTAATACTTACAACTGTAATTAAATAAATTCTTCAAATTTGAATCTAATGCAGGCTCGGTGTAGTTATAACGGAGCTCAATGGCGTATTTATGTGGGTCGATGTAAACAACAACTTTTTTGAAAACGATGCTGTGTGCACGATGTTATTTTGGAAAACAGAGGGAGGGAAATATTTGTTTCTCAATGCAAAGAGCAGAGATTCTCTGTGTAAAAGTAGCTGTAAGCGTGAACAGAGCCTATACCAGGTGCTACAATGGGGCGTCAGTACCTTGTTGTGTCCTTAGGCAAGGCACTACACCCACAGTGCTTAGTATGAATACCAGGTGTGTGCGAGTGTTGGTGGTAGTGTTGTTATGATACTGCAATTTCAAACTCCATTTTAATAATAAGGAATAGATTTAACAGT